AAAGCCAGTACTTGGATTGTCTAACATGCTGCAATTCAAATTTTTCTAGACACAAAATTTTTTTGCATATACTTGGTATACAAGTTGAACACCTTTTGAACCAAAGCGTGCCACACTTCTGTTCACTCCGAATATAGGATCAAACAGGCAACACTGGCTGCACTGGAGTTTAACATCACATTGGATCCTGGTGATATTTCGAAAGAGCGACCATTCACGCCTGCAGTTCACTTTTATACTTGGTACATAAGTTAATCTCCATTTTAGAAGGGAGTTTTCAAGGCTTTGAACTGTTGACATGTTGGTAACATCTACAGTATAGTTTCCTTAAATATGACTATTGGAATTGCACATAGGTGTGGCCTCAAGGTCCTCCAATTGTTACAAGATTACTTTATTCCTGTGCTTCAGGCCCCTTGCAATAAAGACGATGTAATCTGCCTTGCTAATTGCATGGCATAATTGCATGCAAACTTTGTTTCTTGTATAAGTATGTCCAAGTTTCTAAGAGCAACAAGTTTCATGCTTTTTTAAAATATTCTGTTTTTCTATTCTTACAACTAGAGTAAATAACATCACACTTCCCTATCTTATACCTCATCTGCTACCTTGTTGCGTGCTCAATTAGCCCATTTTTCTTTGCAACCTCCCTGTGTCTTACTCGGAGCTTGCATTCTTGCACAGCTTTTTATCGTTAGCAGACTTGGATATATTACTCTCTGTCCCTTTTCACAGTTTTAGTATTTTTAACTGAAGCCTAGCATTGATTCCTGCAACATTTCACCAGCCACAGCTTGCTGACCTGAAAATGCCTAATTTATGCCTATTCTTTAACCCACCCTCTGCTGATTTGTAATGCAGAGTGACGTCAACAGCGTAGGTTAAATTCTTGCACCTTCTGAGGTTTCTATGAAGGCCTCTCCTCCTCAATCTTTCCCCTTGCCTGAGGCATGGTGATCCCTAGCTTCAACCACCACCATACGTCTCTCTCTAATGAAAGAGCACCCGTATGATCTGGTAAGACTGTAGAGACTTTACCTTCTGTCCCTAGCTGCAAACATCCTCATCTTGCCTATAAAATCTTTGGCACGTTATTGCATGCTTTTTGGAAACTGAGGGTATTCTAGATCTACTGGTTCCTCACTACGTATTTGTTACATTCTCAAAAATGTCCAATAAATCTATCACATGTCATTTCCCTTTCAAAAGATCATATTGACTCTTCTGATCATACAGTGCACTCAATCATAGTCAAACTTCCTTATTAATAGTAATCCAGCATTTGCCCCATTAACTCTGGCTAACTGACCTATAGTTCCTGGTTTTCTATTTTTTTTTCTGCTGCCATATTTGGTACCTTCCAACCTGATAGAATCTTGCCATATAGTAATTTAAAAAAAAAAAAAAAATCCTATCTAGCACATCCTGAACCTCCCTGCAGTTACCTCCTTTGGAATTTTATAAGGAAAGAAAAGGAAACAAATAGTGTACACTAGATCTTACTTACTAGTAGGCTGTCCTAGACATAAGGTATAGGTTGAGTTTGGGAGTTGTGCAGTATTTAAAAAGGCAATCAAGAACTTATTATGTAGTTTATTAAGACACAACCGTTCAGATATGATGTGCGATCTAAGTCCAGAAAAAGTATATGAACCGTGGCGGGTGAGGCTGATTTTAATGATCTTTGAGAAAGCCAGATAGTTGGTGCAGATTGCCGTTGGTCTCTATTGTTTGAGCTGACAGCTTTCTGCATTCTACCAGTGTTAAGAAGCCCCTCGCTTTTTTCCTTGCTTTTCCTCAATTTTCCTCCAGAAGGCACCTTCCTACTAAAGAATGAACCCCAACCCCTGAGCACCTGTTAATATACTTTATTTGTAGGGGTTGTTTTTCCCCCTGCATCAGTTATCTATTCGAAAAGCTCTGTTATTTTCCCTCGCCCTGCCCATACCATACCTTTTTTGGCAGGGGACATCTTTTACCTTATTTCATGCTGGGTACAACTTGTTAAACCTTGTCGGACAATTATATAGATAAGAGGGTATGAGATGACATGTTGGCTTAGGAATGTCAACATGAAGGCCTGTAACAACAGACCACAACATGAGACTTCTGATAGCACGTTTCTCTATTATCTTTGTTTACCATTGACCTGTTAATTTCATAATATTATTAAGGGATCACTCCAATACCCCACGTGTCCGTGGATCCGGAGGTGGGGAAATTAGCTTATTCAGTCACATGACCCATGGCAGACAATCGGGACCTGAGTAGACATAGGTGAGAATGTGGGATGGATGAAAGTAAGTTCATAGATGATACAAAGGTTGTTTGGGTGGTTAAGAGTGAGGAGGAAGGTATTAGGTTTTTAAGGTCTAACGCACAACTGCAAGGTGTTGGGTTACAGAGGGACATAAATGGATTGGTCAGACACATCATTAGCAGATGGAATTTAACCCTGATAAATCTGAGATAATGCACTTTGGAAGAAGGAACAAGACAAGGGAGTAGTGAATGAATGGTAAAATACTCGGAAGCTCAGAGGAACATGGGGATCTTGGGGTGCTTGTCCATACGTCCCTGAAGTTGGCAGCACAAGTCAGTCAAATAATTAAGAAGGCATTTGGGATGCTTGCCTTTATCTTGGCCTAGAGGGGTCATGTTGGAATTGTACAGAACTTAGGTTAGGCCATAGGTAGAGTATAAGGTGTAGTTCTAATCACCACACTATAAGAAGAATGTGATTGCACTGGAGGGTGTTGCCTGGGACAGAGCATTTCAGCTGTGAAGAGAGGCTGGATAAGCTCGGGTTATTATCTTGGAGCAGAGAAGTTTGAGAGGAGAACCTGATACAGGTGCAAAAGGTCATGAGAGGCATGGACAAAGTGAATAGAAAACAGTTGTTCCCCTTAGTTGAAGTGTCGATCACAAGGGGACATAATTTTAAAGTGAAAGGCAGGAGGTTTAGAGAGGTTTTGAGGAAAAACATTTTTATGCAGAAGTTGGTGGGGATCTGAAATGTGCTGCCTGCGAGGGTAGTTGAGGTGGGAAACCTCAATCTTTAAGAAGTACTTCGATGAACACTTGAAGTGTCGTAACATCCAAGGCTATGGGCCTAGTGTGGGAAAGTAGAATTAATAGTGTGTTTTGTGTGGTGGAGACTTGATGTTGTGCTGAAGAACCTCTTCTGTGCTGTATGATTCCATGATCTGCAAACCAAGCAACAACTGATGACAGCATCCTTAATTTCATTAGATTCTGTGGACGTAATATGACATTTCTAAAATTGATTTTTCCAGTAAATAGACATGACCTATTTGTGCTAGAAATAAACAAGAGAATAACCTCCATGTCAGATGTTGGTTTGGGTGGAGGCATCTAGAATCCTAAATTTCTATTTTGGAACAGGATGGATAAGTTTCTGAGCCCAGTCCTTTGTGTATCTAAGGACATGATTTGCTTGAAGTTGAACAGTGTCACCTGCCTAAATCATCTTGAGCCTTGTGAGCTGAATTTTTTGGCCTGACAAACTCTATTTTCCCCTTGAATTTGGATTGTAGGGTAACAAGTGTAGATGGAGAGCAAGTCTGTTTCGTGTGGGAGTTTTGTTTTGTACTAGTGTTCCAATATTCTGAACATGTCCCTGATATTTGACCAATCTTTAAATGGACTGTGGAGAGAAATCAGAGTAAATGTTTTGGGTCCAGTGACCCTCCTTCAGAGATTTTCTAGTAATTTCTGTTTTTGTTTAAGATTTCTAGCATCCGCAGTTCTTTTTTTGTTTTTTTTAATGGACTGTAGAGGTTAATAAATAGAGGTAATCATTCATTTTGCATTTATTCTTGGAAAATCCTGCCCAAGACACACACGCTTGATTAGCAAGATTCCTGGATTACACAGTGTCCTAGATTGAACATGGTTTAATTGGGTTAGCTCACTCAGTGACCAAGAAACTTGAATCTAGTCCAGACTAAGTGCTCAGTGCCTGCTATTGTCTTCAACAATGTTGATGCAGACTTGATGGGCCAAAGAGCCTCTTCTGTACCATACAATTCTATGATTCACACTGCAATATGGGCAACTAAGTGATCGAAGACCTAATATAATTTGGTTTGATTTTTTTAAACCTTACAGCTGAACTTTAAAAGAATGAACAATGCTAAGAGTGGGGTAATACACCACTGTGGTATGTTTCTACTTCAGCTTCAATGTAGGAAAATATTTTCTGTTGTTTGGCAAAAATGAAAAACTGCATTCTTTCTTGTTCTCTTTTGTGTGGCTTACAAATACTTTCATTATAGTATAAAGTTCCGTAATGATATTGTTTTTACACTGCAAATTGTTTTTACACTGCTGTAAGCTTTATGCAGAACAAAATTTGAGAACTAGTATAAATGTTCAGAAATGTAGCACAAAAATCATAAGTCCTTTTTGTTTCATCTGTTAACCAGAAAGAGTATTTTGGATTGTATTAAAGTGCAGGATTTTCCCTGCCTATTCTAAGAGGAATCTGTGTAATGTGTGTTAATAACATACCCTGGAAAAGGAGGGTGGCCAGCCTTATGTGCAAGTTAAACAATGAGTGTTATCATTTCAATCGTAAAGGAAGTCACAGCATACCCCTTCATAGTTTGGTGAGTGTGGAGGCTGATATATTGTTGAAACCCTAGATGATTTAATATTTTCTTAACCAACTAACCTCCTACTGAAACTAGGTATAGAAACTATATGTAACTAGAGAGAATGAAGTCTTGTTCTATCTAGTTATTAACTGAGCGACAGTTGAATTGAGCCTTACATGAGCACTGAACATTGTTTAAGGCTTGTTGGGGCTCTCTTGTGGCACAGTGATAGTGTCATTACCCCTAGACTGGGAAGCCTGTGTTCAAGTCCCACTTGCTCCAGAGGTATGTAATAACGTCTCTCAGCAGATTTATTAGAAAAACCATACTTTTTTTATTTAACCTATTTTTCTAATCAGTATCCTGTATTTTGTTTTTCAGCCCATGTGTCCATCCTGTAATATCATGCTCATTCCTGGATCCAGCACCAGCACAGAAGAAACTGCTGTGCAGAATGGTTGTCAAGATGAGCGCAAAAATCCCAAGGTACTAATCCAAAACAAATTTAGGCCCTATATCACAGCAGTGTTACAGAATTGTTATGATGGATAGCAAATCTTGCACAAAATACAAATTTTAAAAAAAATTGATTATTTTGTTTTGTATGCAATTGTGTAATTTGCCATCTGAATTTAGGTTTGGGCTCTATGGTAATACCACACTGCCATAAGCTTGTGTCTTGTGGAATATCTTAGTTAATGGTTTGTGTAATGGCTTGTAATAAGTTATGGGGAAGCTAGATAAATACATGGAGAAAATAATCTAGCAATATGCTCGTAGGGTTGGATGATAAGTAAGAGGAAGCTCATGTGAAACATAAACAATGCACACATTACTTGGTCCAAAGGCCTATCTCTGTGCTGCAGATTTGACTTCTATAATTCCTGACTAAAAGGTGGAAATGTTTCAACAATGGCTTTTTCCCCCCATCTGGAGCTAGAATTGTTTGGATTATTAGGATTATTTCTTAATAAGCATTGATTGCAAGTTGTAATCAAGACCATTTGCTTGTAATATATTTAATGTTTTCAGCATCTTTAGTACAATCCATATTTTCACATTGGGTGTGTTTACTAAAGTTTATTAAAGATCAGGTTAACTATGTAACACCATTTAAAAGTCCCTTCTGTTCTGTGAAGTGGTGAGGTCATGGAGCCTTTTCTCTCATGTAGGCACCATCAGCAGGGCGAAGTCTGAAGGCCCAAAATGGTCTACTGAGTCCTCCAGAGGAAGAAAAGTTAAACAACAGCCAGACATCGCTGTTTGAAATGCTGCAGAGTGAGAGGCAGCTGGATGGACTGCTTCCACTACGCTCCAAGCAGATCCGGGAGAAAACAGATGCTCAGTTTGTCAGCGTCATTAAGGAGGACAGGTATGTTTTGTTAGGCGAGTGTTTTAAGTGTTACGGATCAAGACTGGTGGATGAAGTTGAGGTACTGGTTAGTTGTAATGTAATTGAACGACTGAACAGGTTTGAGGGATGCAATGGCCTGTTCCTTTGGAGTCAGGGCAAGTGGTACATTTGTGCAGCTTCGCATCCATTTTGTTGACTTGCATTGTAAATTATGAAGCTCCCCTGCCATATAGAGTGGACAGAAGCTTCCTATCCATATTTTGTTAAAGCTGCCTCTGACATATTATGCTAATTATTAGCAAAGTAGAAGGCATTTAACCATTTGCAAGAATAGAACACTGCTTTCTTTCAACTTTTTAGTTACTGGTATGAAGTTTTTGCCTTTGTGCTTAGCTGACTGAAGGAGTAGTTCAAGTTCCATGGTCCCAACATTTTGCTCTGAACTGTACTGACTTAACAATTCTGACATGTTGGCATTCATTTGTGAGCAAGAATATTTTTTTGTTAGAACTAATAAGTTATCATTTATATGTCAGGAATGGGATGAAGTACACTCTGCTTGTTTTGATGAGTGAAGTTCCAACAATTCTGTAGAAACTGGAAACCATCTAAAATGGAGCAGCTGTCATGATAGGCACCCCAACAACTACCTTAAATATTTCATCCTACCACTGCTGGTACAGAGTGAAGGCGTTGTCGCATCTAGGAAATGCACTGGCAACTCACCAAGGTTGCTTTGACAGTGAATTCCAGACCTGTGACCTCTACTGTTTAGAAGGATGAGCAGATGTTTGGGAATGCCACTACCTACAGGTTCTCCTCCAAGTCTCTTGCCACCCTGACTTGGGCACGTACTACTGGGTCAAAATCCTAGAACTCCCTCCTCATCTGTATTGTGGATGGACCAGTTGAACTGCAGCAGCTCAAGAAACCAGCTATCACCTTTTCCAGAGCAATTAGGATGGGCAGTCAATGCTGACCTTGCCAGCAAGGTTAAGATCCTAAGAATGAATATTTTTGAAAAAAAACTTCTCTTGCTCGATTCTAACATTTTTGCAATCTATCATCTTCCCCTTCCCTGGAAATTTGAACCCAACTCTGCTATTTTGTGATCATTGTCCTTTGAGAAACTGAGTAGCATGTCCTGGGTTCTTCTGGATAAAATAACCATGTCCTGTTGCTCAGACCTAGTTACTAGTTTGTAAAGGGAAGCCAGTTACCTGACAAGCAAGCACCTTTGTCTGTGTCTTTTGTGCACATATTAAAAGTTGTAAAGTGCATGAGCCTATCCAAAGCTGTGAAGAAAATTTAATTAATTGAATGTAAAGTTTGTTAGACCAGTGAATAACTGCTTTTTAGATTTGGATTTTGATGCTTTTTACTCTCATTTAGATTCATTTCTTCTGTGTTGATTTCTGGTTGACCTTCTATTTTCAGTCCTTAATGAACTTAAGCTCATCAAAATTCTTCTGTCCGCATCTTAACTCATCACTGTCCTGCTTTGGTGCCCAGATCATCAGGAGTTTAACATTAAAATTCTGTTTTCAAATACCTCCATTGCATCTCTGTTTCTTATCTGTGTAACCTGCTGCACTCTAATTCTGGCATCCAATGCACCTCCACTTTTACCTGCTACACCATAGTCAGCTGTTCTTTTAGGTTTTTTTGGAGCTGTTTGTGTAGAGCCTGCTAGGGCACAGGCAGTTCTGGATTTGATATGTAATGAGGCAGACTTTATTTGGGAGCTTAACGTGAAGGAACCCCTAAGGGGCAAAGACCATAATGTGAGAATTCACCCTGCGGTTTGAGGGGGAGAAGCTGGAATTGGAAGCAACAGTATTAGAATTGAGTAAAGGTAACTGCAAAGACTTGAGGGAAGAGCTAGACAGAGTTGATTGGAAGGGGATCCTGGCAAAGAAGATGATGGAGCAGCAAGACAGGAGTTTCATGGGGGGTCGTTTTGGGAGGCACAGCAGAAATCCATTCCAAGGAAGAAAGAGGATACGAAAGGGAGTACGAGGCAACTATGACTGACAAAGGAAGTCAAGGACAGCATAAAAGCAAAAGAGAAAGCATACAATGTGCTGAAGATTAGTGGGAAGATTTAAAACACAGCAGAGGATAACCAAGAAAGTAGTAAGGGGGGAGAAGATGAAATATGAGGGTAAGCTAGCTAGTAATCTAAAGGAAGATTGCAAGACTACTTATTTGATATCTAAAAGATGAGAGAGAGGCAGGAGTGGACATCATTCCACTAGAAAATGAGGCTGAGGAAGTGATAATGGTAAATAAGAAATAGCAGAGGAACTAAATAGGTACTTTGCATCAGTTTTCCCAGTGGAAGACACCAGCAGCATACCAGAACTTCGAGAGTCAGGGGACAGAGGTGAATGTAGTGGCCATCACCAAGTGAAAAGGTGCTGGGGAAGCGGAAAAGTCTGAAGGTGGGTAAATCACCCAGATCAGATTGTCCATATCTCAGCCTACTGATGGAGGTAGTGGAGATTATACCAGCATTAGCGGTGATCTTTCAGGAATCATTAGAGTTGGGGAGGGTTCCAGAGGACTAACACCCTGTTTAGGAAGGGGTGGAGGTAGTAGGCAGGAAACTATAGGCCGGTTAGCCTGACCTCGGTCATTGGCAAGATTTTAGAGTACATTATTAAGGACACGATTACAGAATACTAGGAAGTGTGTAGCAAAACAGGGCTGAGTTAACACTGCCTCGTCAGGAGAGGTCATTCCTGATGCATCTGTTATAATCCTTTGAGGAAGTAATGAGTAAGTTAGACAAAGGAGAGCCAGTGGGCATGATCACTTTTGATTTCCAGAAGGTCTTTGGCAAGGTGGTACACAGTAGACTGCTTAATAAGCTATAGGCTGCTAAATAAGCTAAGAGTCCATGGTGTTATGGGCAAGGTACTGGTATAGATAGAAGATTGACTGGCAGAAGGCAATAGGGATAAAGGGGTCTTTTTCAGGATGGCATCTGGTGACTAGTGGAAGCCCGCAGGGGTCAGTGCTTGGGCCACAACTATTCATCGTTATAAATTAATGATCTGGATGATGGGAATGAGGGCATTGTTGCCTGGTTTGCAGAAGACCCAAAGATAGGTGGACAGACAGACAGTATTGAAGAAGGTGGGAGGCTGCCAAAGGACCAGCACAGGTGAGTGGGCAAAGAAGTGGCAGATGGAATACAATGTAGGAAAGTAGAGATTATGCACTGGTTGGAAGAACAGAGGCATAGACTGTTTTCTAAATGGGGGAAGTTTTCAGGAATCTGAAGCACAAAGGGACTTAGGAGCGCTAATTCAGGATTCTTTTAAGCTTGATATGCAGTTTCAATTGGCAGTTATGAAGGCAAATGCAATGTCAGCATTCATTGCAAGAGGGTTAGAACGCAAGAGCAAAAATGTACTTCTGAGGCTGTGTAAGGCTTTGGCCAGACCACATTTGGAATATTGAGAGCAGTTTCTATCTGGTGTATCTTGCGCCCCAGCTCCTGACTACTGTTTGGAGGCCTGTACACAACTCCAACTATGGTTTTTTTAACCTTTGCGGTTCCTCAACTCTACCCACAGATTCTACACTATCTGACTCTACTTCATTTCTTACAATTTACTTAAGTTCATTTCTCACCAATAAGGCAACTCCACCCCCTCGGCCCACCTGCCTATCTTTTCGATAGGATGTATATCCTTGGATATTCAGTTCCCAATCCTGATCCCTTTGCAGCTACGTCTCCGTGATACCTACCAGTTTTGATCTGCGCCACAAGCTCATTTACCTTATTTTCTTATACTGCGTGCATTCAGATATAACACCTTCAGTCCTGTATTAACCCTCCCTCTTCTCACTTTCATTTGTTTTTCCAGTGTTTGATTGCTACTCCTTTCCAAACACTCTGTCCTATTTGTGTCTGTGCTGGAGACTTTAAGAACCTCTCCTGAGTTCTCCTTCCCTGTCATTTCTTTGATATTTTTCCATGTAGTTGAATCCACCACTACAGATGTTAACCTGCTGCTTTGTTTTCCACTGGGGCAATTTTCACCATTCCCTTCCCTCTTTCCCCACCCTTTTTGCTAGAACATTGGTCCCAGCTCGATTCAGGTGGAGACCATCCCAACGGGACAGACCTCTCCTGTTCCAATACTGATGCCAGTGCCTCATGAAAAGGAACTCCTCTTTCCTGCACCACTCTTTTAGCCATGTGTTTACTTCCCTTATTCTCATGTCCCTATGCCAATTAGCACATGGCTCAGGCAGTAATCCGGCGCGTATAAACCCTTGAGGACCTGTTCTTTAATTTGGTTCCTACCACCTGATAATCTCTGAACAGGTCCTCTTTCCTAGTCTTGCCTATGTTGTTTGTTCCAGCGTGGACCACAACAACTGGATCCTCCCCCATCCTGCTCCAATATCCTTTTAAGCCGATCAGAGATATCCCTTACCCTGGCACCGGGCAGGCAACACACCATGCGGGACTCGCGATCCTGCTTAAAAAGGATACAGTCTATCCCCTTAATTGTAGAATCCCCTACAACTACCACCTGTCTTTCTGCTCCCCCCTTAATGGCCTCCGGTACCACGGTGCAGTGGTCAGTTGGCTCATCCTCCCTGCAGCCCTTTTCCTCATCCACACAGGGAGCAAGTAACTCATACCTGCTGAACAAGGTCAAGAGCTAAGGCTCCTCTGTTCCTGATTGCAGGATCCCTCTACCTGCCTCGCTTACAGTCGTACCCTGCTGTCCCTGGCTATCCTCTGTTTCCTACCTTCAAGCCAATCTTGTATCTAATTGGCTAGCTCTCCCTGGATCCCATGTGATCCAGCCTTACTAACCAGTCTACTATGTGGAACCTTGTCAGACACCTTGCTAAAGTCCATGCAGACAAGATCTACTGCTCTGCCTTCATCTATCTATCTTGGTCACTTCTTCAAAACAAAAATCAAATTTGTGAGGCACTATTTCCCAAGCACAAATCCATGCTGACTATCTGTAATCAGTCCTTGCCTTTCCAAATTCATTTAGATCCTGTCTCCAGAATTCCTTCCAATTTACCTACCACTGACGTTAGGCTCACTGGTCTGTAGCTCCCTGGCTTTTCCTTGTAGCATTTCTTAAAGGCACAACTTTGGCTAGCCTCCAGACTTTCGACACCTCACCTGTGGATGTCAATGATACAAATATCTCCACTAGGACCCCGCAATGTTCCTAGCTTCCCACAATGTCCTGAGACACACTTGATCACGTCTCAGGGATTTATCTACCTATGGCCCTCTAGCACCACCTGTTCTGCAATGTGGTCTCTTTTCAAGACATCAACATTTATTTCCCCAGGTTCCCTAACTTCCATGTCTTTCTCCACTTAAATACTGACAAGAAATCAGGAATGCAGAGGAAAACCTTCAACTCCCATTACTACATGCTGCACCTCCGTCACTCTATATACCATAACAGTTGTTGCTGATCGCGTTATAAGCCTGGTGGACCAGACTCTCAAACTTGATATGATTTGGCTAGACTCGTGTATTTTTAAAGTAGACAAGGTGGAAGGTACAGGTAGCATACTAAGAGAATAAGCCATAAGATTCTACAGTTTTGAACAAACAACAACAAACTTTATTTTACAACTGTAGAACAGTATTACAATCTGGATTGCACGTATAACGTATTCTTAGACTCAAAATTAACATGGTTCATATGCGTAATAACCTCTTATTTAACACACTACAATACATATCCAATAGCAAGTGCCATCAAGATATAGACCTCTAATTTCTCAGCAGTGTCCCCGATGTTACTGAAATGGCAAGTTATTGAAGCTCATTAAACTTCACAAGGGATCACAATTCTTCACTTTATCCAATCTCGCCTTCAAGCAACCTCTCAAGCTGCAGCTTTTAATTGACAGCTAGCTTCACCAAGCTAGAACTGCCACTGAGCTCCAATACTGCTCAGTTGCCAGGTACTGCCTGAGTGTTTTTCAAGCCTCACTCATCTAGGTGTGCTGTGCTGAGATAGTGATGTTCACTGCCTTCTTCTGAGCCCGTCATGGCTTCCCCCAACACAGCCAGCAACTTTCCCACTTTATCATTGCCTAGGATTTCTTCTGAAGCATGAGGCCAAACTTGGCATCCTCAATAATTAGTAAACTTCCTCTTGAGTTGTAATGTTATAGCCATCCAGCTGCAGTACACCCTTCAGAATCTCCAAAAAGGCAATCAATGCAGTTGAGCTGCCTTCTCAGCAGGTACAGCCCACTGTTGCTATTCTAATGCTCCAACCTCTCTTCCCTCACTTGCTTTCTCTCTCTATAAACACGTTTGCTATTGCTTGTCAAACTCGAATGCTGTCAGCTTGCAACATTGGAATTGTCTGTTTCATAATTCTAACCAGAAATAGATTGCTCCCTTTTTAAAACAAATCAAATTGAGGATTTCATCTCGCCATGTTTTTAGGAAATTCACTAATTCCTGCTTGGCCCATTGGGAGCGCATTCCTTGGAACCTACAGATAACTTGAAACAGTAATCTATACTGACCCTGAGGGAGTGCTGTACTGTCATTGTTTAGATCAAATGATAAGTCAAGGACTAATTTGTCTGTTGCAAGTAGATTCAAAAGGTTCCATAGCACTATTCAAAGAACAGTGGAGTTCTTCAGGTGTCTCAGTCAACATTTCTCCCTCAACCAACAGCAAAAGTACAATTCGTTGTCTGTGAAACAGTTAAGACTTCAGAGTGCTTTATGGTTGTATGATTCTTTAATTTTTAAAATAGCAGTTGTCTGTCTTTCTAACAAGTCTGTCTCCTCTCCCATGTTCAGATACAAGTTTTTGTCAATGAGTTTTGATTTTTTTGACACTAATTCTGATTGGATCTGGTTTTCTCCATTTATAGATTAATGGACGAATACTTCTTCAAACCTCCTATTAACAAATTCAGCCTGAATTTCTTGGACTCAGGCTTGGAGAAAGCTTATAGGGGCAGCTATCAAGATGAGGTATGGGTATATCCTGCATTCATTGATGAACTGATTAATTGGATTGTTTGTGTTTCTGTCGTGTTGCCTTTTCTTCTAACCAGTAAGGTAATCCCTTAAAACAATTTCTGCTGTTCAGTTGTGTTCACTGTGGAGTGACAGTGTAATTGATGGCATATTTTGCTAGAAACTAAAATCAGTTTTGATTTCAACTCTTGACTTAGGGTAGGATTTTTGAAACCTAGTCATGAACTAGCAGACAGTTCAGTTGAATTGATTTGGGATAGACACTGATGTTAATATGCCAAGATGAGTGGACTGGGAGTAGCTGTTTGCAGGAAAATCTACACTGGAGCAGGGGGAGTCTTTCGTAAAGGGAATATTTAGAAGTGTGGGTCATCATGTTCCATAAAGATGGAGTGTAACTTCAGTTCCAGAGAACAGTGGATGGTGAGGAAAGTGCAGGATTGGATGAGGGTAAAAAGGGAAGCTTGTAGATATTGAGAGCTCAGACAACAAAAGCTGTTGAGGTGTGTATAAAATGCAAGGGATTACTTTTGGGGGACAAACAAGAAATTAGGAAAGCGTAGAGGACATGAAAAATCACTGGCAGGTAAAATAAAGAAAAATCCAGTGCCATTTTATAGGCATATTAGGAATAAGATAACGAGGGATCTAAGTGGCAAACTGTAGTTAGGACCAGAAAACATAGATGATGTTTTAAATGACTATTGTATGCACAATTCAGAATAACAGTGTACGTTGTATGCCTCGAACTCAGGTAAGAGGACTATGATAAACTTGGAAAAAATTGCAATTGAGATGGAGGAAGTTTTAGCAGACTTAAAATTGCCTAAATAACTAGACCCAGCTGAAATGCATTTCAGGCTGCTATGAGAGGCAATGGAGGAGGCCTTGAAATTAATTTTCAAATCCTGTTAAATGTGAGTGGTTCCAGATAATTGGAGAACAGCCAATGTGTTATCATTAAGGGAGGCAATGGCCTAGTGGTATTATTGCTGGACTGTTAATCCAGAGACCCAGGTAATGTTCTGTGGGACTTAGGTTTGAATCCTGCTATGGCAGCTGGTGGAATTTAAATTCAATAAATATCTGGAATTAAGGATCTAATGATGACCATGAATCCATTGCCGGTTGTCAGAAAAACCCATCTGGTTCACTAATGTCCTTTTAGGGTAGGAAACTGCCATCTTTACCTGGTCTGGCCTAAATGTGACTCCAGACTCTCAGCAATGTGGTTGACTCAACTGCTGTCTGGGCGATTTAGGGATTGGCAATAATTGCTGGCCTAGCCAGTGACTCCCTCATGCCGTGAATGAATAAAGAAAAAAAACAATTGTTCAATCATGGTGGGAAGGATAAACTGAGGCACTATAAGTCAACAAATATGATATCAACAGTAGGGAACCTTTTGGAAAAAATGAGTGACAGAATTAATCTCCAGCAGCAAAGGATAATCCTCATGGCTTTGTCAATGAGTGATCATTTCCGGCAGGTTAGTTTGAGTTTTTCAAGAAGATGATGAGATGTGTGGATGAGGGTAATGCAGTGGATGTGGACTTCAGTGAGGCTTTTGACAGGGTCTTGCAAAGCAGATTATTCAAGAAGGTAAGAGACACTGTGGGATCCAAGACAGTTTGGCAAATGGGATCCAAAATTGGCTTAATAGCAGGTGGCAGTGGATAATGGTCAAAGATTGCTCTTGTCATTGGAAGTCTGTGTCAAGTGACATATCACGAGTTTCATTGCTGGATCCCTAGCTGTTTTGATCTAGACGTGAATGTTAAACAAACTGAGACTGGGTCATTTGCTTCATTTGGTGAGTGTAAAATAGCAAAATAAGTTTGAAATAATGGCTCAGATCTCTCTCTGGATAATCAGAGACCTTGGAAGATAGGTGCCAGGACCACGTGGATGTTCCAATACTATGTTGTAATTATATGGGGAATTGAAATGTCTGATGAGTAATAACATGGCTACTGGAACCAACTCTGGCTTCCCAACTTTGAGTTTGAGTCAGATACTTTGGACATTCAACTTACCATGTAAATGCAAAATACTGCAAATGCTGGAAGTCTGAAATAAAAATAGGGAATGCTGGAGCAACCTGGCAGCATACCTGGAGAGACAAATGAGTTGAGATGGAGATTGAGTTCACACTCCAAAGTATGAACCCCAATGTGGAATCCTAGAGGCTGTGATGTACCTAATTGGGAAATGAGTTGTTGTTCCTCCAGCTTGCGTTGAGCACCCTCATCATTTATTCCACTAAGTCCTGTACTTCTGTCAACAGGATAAAAAAACCACCATCTTCCAACCACTTTCATTTCTGAAGACCAGTCATAGTGGACTCAATATTAACTGTTTCTCTCTTCACAGATGCTTCACAGATTTGCTGAGGTCTCAGTGGTGGGAAATATTGAGACAATTATTTGGGATAGAATTAGCAATTACATGGGAAAAGGTGGGTTGATAAGGAAGAAAGGGGAAATCATGTTTAACTAACTTCCTAGCGTCTTTTTTTGAAGAGGTAACAACAGGCTTGATGAAGGTAATGCTGTTGATGTCGTGACTCGATTAGCTCAGTTGACTGGACAACTGATTTTTTGGTGCAGAGTGACGTGAATAGCGTGCGTTCAAATACTACACCAGCTAAGGTTATCATGAAGGACTCGCCTTAACCTCTTGCCTCGGCTGAGGCATGGTCACCATCCGGTTAAACTGCCACCAGTCATCTGCCTGTACAAGCATCTCTGGACTTTGATCTAAGAAAAATAAACAATGAAGTTCACAGCTGACCTTGGAGAAATCTCAGTATTGGGGCTGCTCACAGGAAGGGAACAGCTAAGTGTTTTTTTTTTCAGTTTAACCATACTCTGTTTTTTCTTAAATCTACAATAATGAGTAGGGTGGATTTTTATTTTGTTTGTTTTATTGAGATCTGTGTCTATATTAAACTTTTATAAAATATAAAGCATAGGTACCAAGTTATCCTAGAGCAGTGTTTTTCAAGCAGCAAGATTGTGCTATTTTCTTGGTCTGTTTAGATTGCTAAGGTGCAAAGATGGCCTTCAGCAGAGTGATGTGCTCTTCCTGTTGGATGTGGGCGATGAGGGAGAATTTCACTGTTAGAAGATTATGACTGCAATAAGTGTGCTTGGTTGCGAATCCTATTGGATTGTATGTGTGGGTTGGAGTGGCAGTTAGAGACAATCAGGAGTTTACAGGAGCTGGGGGGGTGAGATGGATGAAAGTTTCAGGAAGGTAAAAAAACCACAGGTACAGTTGGGTAGATGGGTTACCTCTAGGAAAGGTAGGATAGATAGACAGGTACCGCAGGAGTCTCCTGTGGCTATCCCAGTCTTAAACAAGTACGCTGTTTTGGGAAATGTAGGGGGTGATGGACTCAGGAATGTAGCCCAAGTTTCTGGTACTGAGACTGGCTCTACTGTAATGAGGGCTAAGTCAGGTTCTCAGCAATCGATTGTGATAGGGGACTCTACAATCAGAGGCACAGACAGATGTTTCTGCAGCCAGCAATGAGATATCAGAATGGTGTGTTGCCTCCTGGGTGTCAGGGTCAAAGATATCCCAGAGAGGGTGCTGAATATCCTCAAAAGGGAGAATGACCATTAGGAGGTCTTGTACACATTGGAACCAATGACATAGGCAGAGAAAAGAACGAGATTCTGCGGTGAGAATATAGGAAATTAGGCAGGAGGTTAAAATGTAGGTTCTCGAGAGTGTAGGAGGACAGAGCAGATGAATGTGTGGCTGAGGAGCTGGTGCAGGGGAGGATTCACGTTTTTTGGATCATTGGAATCTCTTCTGGGGTAGAAGTGACTTGTATAAGAAGGACGGGTTGTCACTGAAATGGAAGGGGACTAATATACTGGCAGGGAGATTTGCTAGAGCTGATTGAAAGGAGGGTGGTGGTGGTGGTGGTGGTGGGACCCAGAGAGATAGTGAGAAAAGAGATCAGTCTGAGGCTAGTGGAGTTAGGAAGAGGAGCAAGTCAAAGCAGAGACCAAAGTAGGACTGATAAATTGAACTGCATTTATTTCAATGCAGGAACCCTGACAGGTAAGGCAGATGAACTCCAGGCATGGCTGGCAAAATGGGACTGGGATGTCATAGCTACTACAGAGACATGGTTCAGGGATGGACAGGACTGGCAGCTTATGTACATATGCTAGAGGCAAGTTAGAAGGGAGTCGAAATTGTTTCAGAGATAGTAGGAACTGCAGATGCTGGAGAATCTGAGATAACAAGGTGTAGAGCTGGATGAACACGGCAGGCCAAGCAGCATCAGAGGAGCAGGAAGGCTGACGTTTTGGGCCTAGACTCCTCTTCAGAAATGGGGGAGGGGAAGGGGATTCTGAAATAAATAGGGAGAGAGGGGGAGGCGGATAGAAGATGGATAGAGGAGAAGATAGGTGGAGAGGAGACAGACCGGTCAAAGAGGCAGGCATGGAGCCAGTAAAGGTGAGTGTAGGTGGGGAGGTAGGAAGGATGGACAGGTCAAGGGGGCGGGATGAGGTTAGTAGGTAGGAGATGGGGGCGGGGCTTGAGGTGGGAGGAAGGACAGGTTAGGGAGGTGGGGATGAGCTGGGCTGGTTTTGGGATGCGGTAGAGGGAGGGGAGATTTTGAAGCTTGTGAAGTCCACATTGATACCATTGGGCTGCAGGGTTCCCAAGCGGAATGAGTTGTTGTTCCTGCAACTTTCGGGTAGCATCGTTGTGGCACTGCAGGAGGCCCAGGATGGACATGTCATCTGCGGAATGGGAGGGGGAGTTGAAATAGTTTGCACTGTTTAGTGCGAACTGAGCGTAGGTGTTCCGCAAAGCGGTCCCCAAGCCTCCGCTTGGTTTTCCCGATGTAGAGGAGGCCACAACGGGAACAGCGGAGGCAGTGTACCACATTAGCAGATGTGCAGGTGAACATCTGCTTGATGTGGAAAGTCTTCTTGGGGCCTGAGATGGGGGTGAGGGGGGAGGTGTAGGGGCAGGTGTAGCACTTCCTGCGGGATAGGGGATGGCATTTTTGCAGGAAGGTGGGTGGGAGGAGGTGTATTCTAGGTAGCTGTGGGAGTCAGTGGATATCGGTTGAAATGGATATCAGTTTCTAGGTGGTTGCCGGAGATGGAGACAGAGAGGTCCAGGAGGGAGAGAGAGGTATTAGAGATGGTCCAGGTGAACTTAAGGTTGGGGTGGAAGGTGTTGGTGAAGCGGATGAACTGTTCAAGCTCCTCGTGGGAGCATGAGCCGGTGCCGATAAGAGTCATCAATGTAATGGAGGAAGAGGTGGGGTTTAGGGCCGGAGCAGGTACAGAGGAGGGATTGTTCCATGTAACCGACAAAGAGGCAGGCATAGCTTGGGCCCATGGCCACCCCCTTTGTCTGTAGGAAGTGGGAGGAATTGAAAGAGAAGTTGTTGAGGGTGAGGACGAGTTTGGCTAAGCGGATGAGGGTGTCAGTGGAGGGGGACTGGTTGGGCCTGCAGGACAGGAAGAAGCGGAGGGCCTTTAGGCCATCTGTATGAGGAATGCAAGTGTATAGGGACTGGATGTCCATGGTAAAGATGAGGTGTTGGGGACCGGGGAATTGGAAGTTCTGGTGGAGGTGGAGGGCGTGGGTGGTGTCACGGACATAGGTAGGGAGTTCCTGGACCAAGGGGGAGAAAATGGAGTCCAGATAGGTGGAGATAAGTTCGGTGGGGCAGGAGCAGGCGGAGACAATGGGTTGACCAGGGCAGTCAGGTTTGTGGATTTTGGGAAGGAGATAGAAGCGGGCGGTGCGGCGTTGGGGAACGATGAGATTGGAGGCTGTGGGTGGGAGGTCACCTGAAGTGATGAGGTTGTTGATGGTTTGGTGGTCGGGGTGGGGTCATGATCGAGGGGGCGGTAGGAGACGGTGTCGGAGAGTTGGCATCTGGCCTCGACGATGTAGAGGTCAGTGCGCCATACTACTATGTGGATAAATCCCTCTTCCGTACCTACACTGGCCCTAAACCCCACCTCTTCTTCCGTTACATTGATGACTCTATCGGCGCCGCCTCATTCTCCCACGAGGAGCTTGAACAGTTCATCCACTTCACCAACACCTTCCACCCCAACCTTAAGTTCACCTGGACCATCTCTAATACCTCTCCCCTCCTTCCTGGACACCTCTGTCTCCATCTCCGGCAACCACCTAGAAACCGATATCCATTTCAAGCCCACCGACTCCCACAGCTACCTAGAATACACCTCCTCCCACGCACCTTCCTGCAAAAATGCCATCCCCTATTCCCTATTCCCAATTCCTTCGCCTCCGCCGCATCTGCTCCCAGATTGAGGCATTCCACTCCCGTACATCTCAGATGTCCTCCTTTTTTCAGAACCACAACCACCCCCCCCCCCCCCCCCCCCCCCACTCAGTGGTTGAGAACGCCCTCCACCGTATCTCCCGCATTTTCCGCAACTCATCCCTCACCCCCACCCCGCAATAACGACCAAAACAGAATCCCTCTCATCCTCACGTACCACCCCACCAACCTCCGGATCCAACTCATCATCCTCCGACACTTCCGCCATCTGCAATCTGACCCCGCCACCAAAGACATTTTTCCCTCCCCACCCTTATCTGCTTTCCGGAGGGACCACTCTCTCTGCTCCACACTCCCCTCCAGCCCCACCTCACCCGGCACTTTTCCCTGCAACCGCAGGAAGTGCTAAACCTGCCCCTACACCTCCCCCCTTACCCTCATCTCAGGCCCCAAGAAGACTTTCCACATCAAGCAGATGTTCACCTGCACATCTGCTAATGTGTGGTATACTGCATCCTCTGTTCCTGTTGTGGCGTCCTCTACATCGGGGAAACCAAGCGGAGGCTTGGAGACCGCTTTGCGGAACACCTACGCTCGGTTCGCACTAAACAACTGCACCTCCCAGTTGCGAACCATTTCAACTCCCACTCCCATTCCACAGACAACATGTCCATCCTGGGCCTCCTGCAGTGCCACAACGATGCCACCCGAAAGTTGCAGGAACAGCAACTCCTATTCCGCTTGGGAACCCTGCAGCCCAATGGTATCAATGTGGACTTCACAAGCTTCAAAATCTCCCCTCCCCCTACCGCATCCCAAAACCAGCCCAGTTCGTCCCCACCTCCCTAACCTGTCCTTCCTCCCACCTCAAGCCCCACCCTCATCTCCTACCTACTAACCTCATCCCGCCCCTTGACCTGTCCATCCTCCCTGGACTGACCTATCTCCTCCCTACCTCCCCACCTACACTCACCTTTACTGGCTCCATGCCCGCCTCTTTGACCGGTCTGTCTCCTCTCCACCTATCTTCTCCTCTATCCATCTTCTATCCGCCTCCACCTCCCCCTCTCTCCCTATTTATTTCAGAATCCCCTTCCCCTCCCATTTCTGAAGAAGAGTCTAGGCCCGAAATGTCAGCCTTTCTGCTCCTCTGATGCTGCTTGGTTTGCTGTGTTCATCCAGCTCTACACCTTGTTATTTTAGAAGGGGGTCAGACAGGAAAGGAGGGGGCGTGGCGTTTTTGGTTAGGGATAACGTTACGGCTGTGTTTAGGATATCCCGGGGTGTATGTCCAGTGAATTAATTTGGGTGGAGCTGAGAAATATGAAATGGATGATCATCTTATAGGGATTGGACTGTGGCCCTGATATACTA